TTAAAAATGACAGGGAATCAGTTCACATTAAGCGTCACTTTATTAAAGCCGAAACCAGATATTAAAGCCTTCACCACCAACATCACCACCTGCTATGCAGCAGTATGTCTTTCTCTGTATTCCTCCTGTTAGTAAATCACTCATATATCTCTCTGTCACAGATGTCTGAGAAAAGAAATTTACATTTGACTAGAATATTTTGGTATATTCCGAAGGTTGTCAGCAGGGTAAGCAACCTGCCACTTAACCAGCTTGTTAATATTCTCGTTGACAGGCACATGGACTCATGTGAAAAATGGGCCAAATCCATTTTATCTAACTCACACCATCCTCTTCACTCACAACTCTCCCCTTGCATCTCATCAGGCAAAACCAGAAGCTTATATAGAAAACTATATGCTCGCACCAGCAAGCAAGTACAAAAACTCAACCATACCCTACTCAGCTCGTGTTCTGTGTGATAAATAAAGCATTAGGCATGACACCTATAACTTATTAAATAGTCAGTAGAACAACTGGACCTCGTCTTTCCAACTCATATAATTTATAGGTACAACGTTTTCTTCCTTTTCCTTTTCTCTTTTTCCGTTATGTGCTGCTTTGTCTCTTTCTCTCGCTTACGCCAGTAAATGTGACAGCACCTACTTTTATAACACCTTCAAACACTGTTCAACTTTGGCTTTGCTACCGACATGCCAATATGTTGTTGCCATAATGAACTGAGATTTCCTTAATCTATGTAGAATTCTGTTTATTGATAATGTACTAACTGGATGCGATACTGTGGTAAAAATGCTGAGAATTCCATTCTGTATCAGAAGTACTGTTTTGGAATAACGCAAATTTATTATTATTATTAATTACCAGTTACAGTCAAATGAATAATGAAATTAATCATTCCACACTACACAATACCATCACAAAGCAGAGTTGTTAAGTGTATCCCCCAGTTCGCTACAGAATAAAATCATAAACCAAAACATGTTACATAGCTAAGTGTGTATTTTAAATGAATTTGCTATGAATGTGCCTCGCTCGATTAATATTTGATTATACAAATCAGTAACTATAAGTATGTTAGTATGATAGTTAAGATGAATTAACGGAACGCCTGCTAGAGGAACAAGCATTGAGGCAACAGGTAATTTTCTACAATTATTATTGAATATATGTTACGCAAATATTATAGCATGAAAAGCAATTTTGAACATAACTCTCAAATGGTTAAACATAGAACAAACACATAAAACCTCAAAGACAGACTTTAATCGACTGGTTTCTTCGATATCATGGTGAGGTTTAGTCATCCAAATATAACTGTGTGATTTTCCAACCTCATATTTCCGTAGTTAAACAACTAATGTGTTTCGACAGACAGTATTATTATGGTCAGCAAAATTTTGTTCTAAAAGTATTCAGTAAGCAAATAATATTGTTTCGTTACGCCTTATAATATTAGATAAAATATTCCTCTTATGGAATTTGAGTATGCTGGTTTAGAAAAGACATGCACAACATAGCACTACTGATTGATTGATTGATTGAAACATTTACATCAACCAGTAGTGCTTACTACGAGCTTGATCAAAGTGATTTGAACACTTAACAGCCGCTTCGTTAGTTTGGGGCTGAGCCAGTTATCGGTTTACCCAGTTCGACTCAACTCAGAGAGCTGAATTAGTTAAAAAACAAGCCGATTTCTGGTGGTGAAATGACAAAACGCTGAAGGGAAACCAATCTAATAAGTAATTAAAACGAATGCATAACATGTGATGATTGTAACACATATGTAACGAATCTCATATATATATATATATATATATATACATATATATATATATATATATACTTATTCAAACCACCAAAGAAAGGAGACCTAAGTCAATGCAAGAACTGGTGCGGAATTATACTCCTGTCCATCCCAAGTAAAATACTAAGCCGCATCATCCTGGAGAGAATGAAACATGCCACCCTGGATGAAAAACTTCGACCGGAACAGGCTGGATTCAGGAGAAACAAGTCATGCACTGATCAGATCGCCATATTACGGATTATCACTGAACAAAGCTTGGAATGGCAATCATCTCTCTATCTTAACTTCATTGACTTTGAAAAGGCCTTCAGCAGACGGCGTCCATCGAGAGGTGATTTGAAAACTACTTCGCTACTATGGGGTGCCACCGATAATTATACATCTCATCCAACAGCTGTACGACAATGCTGCATGCCAAGTAATCCACAACGGGAAACTCACGGAATCCTTCGAAGTGAAGACAGGAGTAAGACAGGGTTGCCTGCTATCGCCAATGATTTTCCTGATTGCAGTTGACTGGATAATGCGACAAACAGCGGGCAATGACGAAACAGGCATAAAATGGACTCACACAAAAAACTCGAAGGACCTGGACTTCGCCGGTGATATGTGTCTGATTTCCCACAAACTGGAAGATATGCAAGCAAAAAGCAAAAAGTGAACATAAAAAAGCAACAGGTGAACATAGAGAAAACAGAGGTGATGAGGATTCCTGGAAAACACCACCAACAGCAACAACAACAACAACAGACAATGATCAGCATAAATGGGAGGAACCTGAAAGAAACAACCTCTTTCACGTACATACTTCGGAAGCATCGTTTCGACTACATGCGGAACTGACGAGGATATCAAAGCAGGAATCGGAAAAGCAAAACAAGCTTTCACTACTATCAAGTCTGTGTGGAGGAGGTCAACAGCACTACTCAGCATCAAAACGAAGATAAGATCCAGATTTTCAACTCCAATGTGAAGTCAGTCAGTGCTACTATACGGATGGATCATAGACTTGGCCAGCGCGTCATAAAGAGCATCTCAAACAAACTACAGACCTTCATTAACAGCCAGTTGTCTTCGCTCAATACTACTCAAGATCAGATGGCCGGCCGGCCAGAAAAGATCAGCAACAGAGAGTGATCTCTGGCAATGAGCGAACCAACACAGCAGGGACCAACCGATTGTGAAACAAATATGCATGCAGGAAGAAATGGAGATGGATTGGCTGGCCGTACTCTGAGGAAACAAGCCATCAAGTGAGTGACATCACTGGACAAGCCATTGCTCGAGTGGAACCCTACCGATTGGGAAGCGGTGGCGAGTTGGTCGTCAGTGCGAGGGTGGGTGACTTGGAGGAGGTCATGTGAAGAGGAGATGAAAGCGTGTGGACAGACTTGGAGTCAGGTGAAAACTGTAGCAGAGAACCGAACGCAATGGAGACGCATGGCTGAAGCCCTATGTTCCTCTAGGAATGAAAGGACACAATGATAATAATAATATTGAGGAAATAGGTCACAGAGTAATGTGGTATAACGAACAAAGTTAGGCGATCACATGTTTCAGCAATCTTCACCAAATTGCATCCAATAAAAGCTGAAGCGTACGGGAGGATTTTGAAGATAAATTTACAAAGAAGAACAAATAGCTAGACTAGATGTATATCTGGTTGGAATGAATATTAAAACTGACGAATAACTTCATAATATTTATAGTTTGTGACCTTAAGCTTAAAGTGAAACATGTGACTATCTGCCAAGAGGGAAGTTAAGTTTGAGAACTTCGGAAGTCAAATTAAACAAAGCCGATTTACTTGTGAATAATTCAACTGAATAGTACATATTTTCTCAGTGATTCCCACTTTTTTGACTAACAACAAATCCATTGCTTTATTAAAACAAACATACAATCCATTGAAAGCCTTAAAAACAACATTTCAATGCATAATTTCGCAACAGAAGAAGAGTTTTGTGCCGCAAGTCCAATGGTGGTAGAATGCACTCCAACCAAGAGCGATCTTGGTATTCAACTCCGGAATGAAATATCCCTAAACCTTGCCTAATCAGTATTAAGCTTCAAAAAGAGGAAAGGTTGGGCGTCAGGTTAGTAACTCCATTCTGCAGAAACCCCACCACTTCTCATGAACCTACACACAAAACTGATGCCATTTGTTCCACTTGGCATACAACAAACGTTAAAAAGAGAATAACAGTAGCTTCCATCACCATGTGCAGAGTAGAATACTCGATACATACCACCTAAAAGATTGCCAGATGTCACTCTATCACTGATCATACATACAATATCATGATAAGTAAAATGAATGAATGAAGTGCATTGCAAGTGGATAAGGATAAGTGGTACACTAAACTGTGAATTGTAAATATTGTGCATTCCAGATGGCATTCTCTGTGGTATCAGGCTTATTGCGTGGAACAGGAATCTAATTTGTAACTCAAACAACTGACAGTCTAGTGAGCCATAACTCTACCACCACACACACGTAATTAGCATAGTGCAGTATAAACGGAAAGCGAAGTAAACTGTCCAACTTTATTCTAATTACTACAATCAAGAGAACTGAGGCTACTGCACTATAAATTTAACCACCACAAGTATTTGAAAATAACAGTGTGTACAGAGCATGGTGAATCACTTCATTTCTAGCAGAATTAAGAGGTGCGTAAAGTCAACTCAAGTACAAAACAAAAGCTACACAGTTAGCAAGTATTAACTGAAATGTTTGAGATATATTTGTCATGTTTTCTTTCTCTTTCTGTAGTCATGGAAACATATTAATTGGTTAAGCTTACAAGATGCACACAATTCAGGTGATATTGTAAATAAATTCAGTGACAATTAACTTATATCACCAATGTTATAGAATGCATTGAATACGATACTACAAAACAGATGAGAACACTTTGCTTAAACATGATCGTCAGTTTGGAGTAATAAATCTGTTTCATCAAATGAACACTAAAATAATAATAAATGTTGTGCAAAATATCGAGTTAGAGCGAAGTCATTTTAACCTATAATAGAAAGGACATTAGTTAAGATATTTTCAAGGTGAGATACAATTTGGCAAGTCTAAACTCTGTCTGTTCATCACATCAAATTTGACAGTACATATGTGAACTTGGATGGTGTATATGATGCTAGCATGTTAAATAATGAACACACTTAGTGGTCAGAATAATGACATGAATAAGATGATGGATATAGAAAGTGAGAAGAGTACTTTACTGTCTGGAATGCGTTTAACTTGCATTGATGTATGTTCGAAGTAGTCAGGATCAAATACGCTGTGAACAAATAACAGTAACAAAAACAACAAGAACAACAACAGAGATAACGATAAGTAAATAGACTGATGTTGTATTCCCGATTTAAAATGAATAACATTGACAAAATCAAAGCATAAAGAGGTTGAAAATATAATCCGCTTTGGTTACAGGATTTCATCATGATCTGACATTGGTTAGAAAACCATTGGAAAACCTACAGGGAGTACTGGACAGCTGTTTCGTCCTAGTTTGGGACTCTTCAGAAGTACGCACCCACCGGGATTCGAACCCAGGACCTTCTGGTTGGCAGAAGTTAGAATTCATGGGACATTGGATCAAGTCCCAGTGGCTTAATGCTATATGAGCTCGCCTTGTAACCAGAGGATCCTGGGCTCGAACCCCGATGGGTGCGTACTGTGAAGAGTCCGGAACTAGGAAGAAACAGCTGTCCAGTACTCCCAGGTTTTCCAATGGTTCTCTTACTAATGTCAGCTCATGATGAAATCCTGTAACATACTTATACTGATGGTAAGTTTGTATAATCGGATGTGCAATGTTTTGAATTAGACAGAGTGGAATATCTTACAAATCGTTTCAAATATCTTATATGCTACTGGAGTATGAGAAAATGAAGCCAAATTCAATACACCGAATATCCGAGTGAATATCTCTCTAATAACATATACAGCCTTTTCATTGCAACACATAATTTAATTAATCCGTTGATGGCAGGTCTGTTATCAAATCATTTTCCAACAACAACGACAAATATGTCAGATGGGTGAAATGTGATCAAGGAGATTAAGGCAACAATAAAAGGACAGGAGTAATTAATTACACCATAAATTCCCGAAAATTCAAACATGCGGTTATAATATATCTCACAGTCTGTATGATGAATACGCAGAAGAATCAGAATGAGTGCTGAATTTATAAAGAGCAGATGACATCAGTGAAATAAGAGGTCGATTGTCTAGGCTATTTCGCATAGAAAACAATAATAGTTTCTAATTAGTGCATATTGCGAATAAACAGACAGTATTTGCACGAATATAAAGGTGGTCAAGGTGCAGAAAGCCACAGCATGAATTTCTTCTGAACACACCGGCTCTATTTTTCCCGGGAAGATTTTGATAACTCTTGTTGTTTGTGAAAGGTGAACTGGCGAATTCTACCACAGAGTAAATTAACATTTGATAAAGTCAGGGCGTTGTACAGTATTATATACACTGATGACCACGTTTCGAGCACAATTGAATACTCGTAATCATATCAGGACACTCACTCAACTTTGTTTACATATATGAGTAACTAACTGATTAGACGTAAGAATGAACAAACAAACAAAGCTCGATATGAAGTTCAGCAGATATGTGTGAAATAGACGATAGGAAGACAGAGTATATTAGGAAGTGTGAATGCAACAAGATTATTCATTCACAACAGAAGACAAGGGCCAGGCAACAAATCGTTTATTTAAGAAATCAACAGATATTTATAGATCTTCATGTACATTATTATAGATTATTGTATGGAAACAAACACAGTCTTCTGATTGGTGGTTTCTCGTTGAACGTTAGTCTTTCATCTCTTTGTGGCCATTTTTTCGAAGTTCAGATTATCTGCAATTATTGGTTGTTGAGTCAGTATTCGTTCTTATTTTTCTCAGGACCAATATTGGGGACGTAAACACATTGACGTAAATTACTGTCTACCAATTTGACTAGCAGCCAGCTCTCACACCACAATATGTCTAATCAATTTGTTATTCATATATGTAAACAAAGTTGGAAAGTTCTCAGAATGCCTTCATTTGTTAATGAGCAATAAATTGTACTCGAAACATGGTCACCAGTGTATAATATGTACTGTATAACACTGTGCCTTTATCACATGAATTCACTCTGTGATGGAATTATACTCTACCACAAAGTTCAAGTTCTATTCTTATATCAGTGGACTCGTAGAGCAAAATAAGGGATAAATGGCAGCAGCAATGTGATAAATTCACTAAAATGCTTTGTGAATATCAACTATGTGTTCATTGTTGACGGGCTGTACCAGAACAATGCTACAAATTGAGTTGATTTATGTCTTGTCTAAGTATGCAGGATGATGTCACCAAATCGGAAGGTAGGCATTTTTAGCTGTGTACATCGAACTTATGTGTGTTCCGAAGAATTTCACACAGTCAAATTCTGCACGTTAACGATTTTCCATATTTATCCAAGAAAAATGACCATTCACTCTCAGTGTGCACTAATTACAAACTGTCGTCCCTACCTTATTAATTTGGCTAATTCACTCATGTTATCCGCTAACATAAATTCATTATCCAATTCATTCATTCATTCATTCTCCTTCTTCTTCCCTTCATTATTCGTCCTACGAACTATGCAGTGGGTGAGCACGAGTTACAAGTTTCGTATTGTCATGGCTAAATGATAATAGTAATGCTCTTAGTCCAAATGATGATCCGAGTACTGTGGAATTCTAAGCACACAGCGATGAACTCCATGCAACATTTCCATTGTTTTGTGCATAGTATTATTATTATTGTTTCCTTTAATTCCTAGAGGAACATAGGGATTCAGCCGTGCGTCTCCATTGCGTTCGGTTCTCTGCTAGAGTCTTCACCTGGCTCCAGCTATGCACACACGTTTTCATCTCCTCTTCACATGACCTCCTACAAGTCACCCCGCCCTCGCACTGATGACCAACTCGCCGCCGCTTCCCTTTCGGCCGGGTTCCACTCGAGAAATGGCTTGTCTAGTGATGTCACTCACTTGATGGCTTTTTTCCTCAGAGTATGGCCAGCCAATCCATCTCCATTTCTTCCTGCATGCATATTTGTTTCACAATCGGTTGGTCCCTGCTGTGTTGGTTCGCTCATTGCCAGAGATCACTCTCTGTTGCTGATCTTTTCTGGCCGGCCGGCCATCTGATCTTGAGTAGTATTGAGCGAAGACAACTGACTGTTAATGAAGGTCTGTAGTTTGTTTGAGATGCTCTTTATGACGCGCAGTGCAAGTCTCTGATCAGTATGTTAAGTAGCACTGACTGACTTCACATGGGAGTTGAAAATCCGGATCTTATTTTTGATGCTGAGTGGTGACTGTTGACCTCCACACAGACTTGAGAGTAGTGAAAGCTTGTCTTGTCTTCCCGATCCTCGCTGCTTTGATATCCTCGTCAGTTCCGCCGGCTTGTAGTTGAAACGTTGCTTCCCAGGTAGGTAGGTGAAAGAGGTTGTTTCTTCCAGGTTCCTTCCATTTATGCTTATTGTTGTCAGTTGTTGTTACTGTTGGTGGTGTTGGCCAGGAATCTTCCTCACCACATCGGTTTTCTCTATGTTCACCTGAAGTCCTATCTTTGATGCTTCTTCTGCCAACTCGTTTTGTGCATAGTATGCTGAAACATAATTGCCAGCCTGTATGTTCTTCACCAGAATAAATAATTATCATAACGAAAACAATAATCACAACAACATATTGATCCAAAATGCCCATCAGAAATTTCAAAGGACTGATTACTGAACAGATAATATGCTCTCCGGTAACTTCTTCTTCAACAGGTTCTACGGTTCTATATCCATAATAATGAAAGAATTAGGGTTATTAACAACACTAGTGTTTTTGAATAACATCGTATAAATCAAAGATCGTTTGATTACAGATCAATATCATCACTAAGTGTGATAATCTGCATAAAACATAACACTACTCTGAATGTCAGACAAATGAGGGGGAATAATAATACAGAATTCATGAATTTATAGGTTCCACAGAAGGTCAGGATAGTAGAAGTGGCTGGACCTGTTTCTTCTGCACACGCAGCACCAGTTGTTTTAGGTGAATCATCATAGCCTCTGCAGTTTGGAGTATTCGGTATCTGGATACTTTCGGTAATTTATTTGGTATCCGATAGATGATGCAGAAGGATTCTTCAATGCTAGCTTTGTGACCGGTTAGTGCAGGTGCACTAATATTGATCTGTTGATGTTATTCACTGCATTATATTATCAGTAGGCAAAATGGAGATAGCTATTTATTTGACATTGCGAAGTTATTTAGTAATTCGCGAATGCCAACCTAAAGTGTCAATGAATTTATATACTTATTAGTGTGAGCGTATAGTGTTTCTATTTGCTCCATGTTCTGCTACAGGAGGTGCAAGCAAAATGCTATGAATAAAGAGGGCGTTCAGAGTTAGACAAAGTGATTTTTTTCAATTTCGCACATTATTCCAAATGTCTACTGACGATGATGATTTCAACAAATTGGCCTAGAAGTACTGCAATGAGACTACTGGCAGGTTTTGGAGTTCTTCACACTGTAACAATTGTATTAAAGAAAAGCGGAAAGAGTAAAGACGGGAAATAGAAACAAATAAGCAATCTCTACAAGAATCGACGTCTTGTAAAAGTATAGGCTGAGTTATAACAGAGTGTTCCAAATTCTTTACATTGTATGTTACAGGAAATACTTTCCTAGAATTATTCAGGACATCGGACGATCAGGACAAATTAGACGAAGAACTTAACCCGGAGTGCCTATCACTAGATTTAAGTTCTACTCCACCATCCTCTACGTCAGAATAATTACAGGAAATCACCATTTCATGTGAGTTTCGTTTACATCTGAAAGGGTAATTAATAGTATGACATATGGATTTATTATTACTATTATTGTTCCCTTGGGTTCCTAGTGGAACATAGGGCTTCAGCTGCACGTCTTCACTTGCTTCTATCTTCTGCTGTACTTTTCACCTGCATCCATGTTAGTCCATACTGTTTCAATTCCTCTTCGCACGATCTCCTCCATGTCACCCTTGCACCGACGTCCCACTCGCCGCTTCCCTTCCGGATTCCACTCGAGCACTGGCCTGACGCGCGATGTCACCCAGGGGCCTCCTCACCGAGTGTCCAATCCATCTCCACTTTCTCCTGCATATTTGTTGAGCGATCGGTTCTTGTTCTGTTTCTTCCCATAGTTTCTTGGTGGTTCTTGTTCTTTCCGGCTATCGGATCTTGAGTAGTATATAGCGAAGACAGTTGTTGATAAAGGTCTGCAACAGGCTGTTGGAAATATTCTTTGTGACCCGCCAAGTTTCTGATCCATACGTACAGAAGAAGTGACTGACTTGACGTTTGTATTGAAAATCCGAATTTTGTTGTTGATGCTGAGTGACGGAGATTTCCAGATTGGTTTCAGGTTGATGAATGTGTTTCTCACCTTCCCGATTCTCGATTCTCAATTTGACATCTTCGTCCGTTCCTCCTGTAGTTGAGACAATGCTCCCTAGATAAGTGAATGAAGTAACCTCTTTCAAATCCCTCCCGTTGATGGTGATTGGCGCTGGATGTTGCTGCTGTTGTGGTTGTTGTTTTTGGTTGGTTGTTTATTTTCATAACCTCCGTCTTGTCTATGTTCACCTGCAGTCCTGTCTTCACCGGCTGCTTCTTCAACCAGTTTGTCGGTTTTCGCTTGTAAGTCTTCGATTTTGTATGACATCAAACATAAATCATCCACACGCGAAATCCAGGTCTTCTAGGTTCTTCACGTCGGTCGGTCCAGGATATTCCTGTCTTCTCGTTTCCATGCACTGTCTGACGCATAATCCAGTCCACCACAATTAGGAATATCATTGGTGATAATAAGCACCCTTTTCTGACTCCTGTGTTTACTTCAAACGCCTCGCTGAGTTTTCCGTTGTGGATCACTTGACATGTGCTGTTGTCGTACAGCTGTTGAATAAGGTTGATGAATATTTGGGGTACGCCGTAGTACTCGAGTAGATTCAAAATCACTTCGCGGTCAACGCTGCACTGTCGAAGGTCTTCTCAAAGTCTATAAAGTTGAGGTAGAGATTTGATTGCCATTCCATGCTTTGTTCGATGATGATGCGTAGAGTTGCAATTTGGTCAGAACATGATTTGCCTTTCCTGAATCCAGCTTGTTCTCGATTTACTTAAAGCAATATCATTTGTCAAAGATCACTAGCTCAATTCTGAGAGAAGGCCATTCCTTTCGGCAGAGTCTAGTTGGGAGGGAGCAGGTACGATAAAAATCGGGTGGTCATCAGCGCACTTAAGGAAATCAGGAAATCATCACAACTAGGTATGTGATATAAGGAAGAGGTGATAAATGCTGCAGGATCGGCACCTTGCTAGGAAATCCGCTCTAGCGAGCAATGCAGTGGATGGGTTTCCTTTATGCACAGTGTTTATTGCTTTGTCTAAGTTCATAAAGGGAACTAATTGTTTTAAAATTCATTTTACTTCTCTCCTTTTATTGTTGATCCAATCTCCTCGATCAGTTATCATACATGTGACACACGTGTTGATGTTGAATGATGATTGCTAACAGAGATCTAAAATCACCAGGCTAATAAATTATGCGTTGTAGTGAAACTGCTATCACTGGTATCATACAGTTATTTATGAGGACATCATCACAGGATAAGCATTTCTTCATTAAGTGTGTTATTAGGTTAAACAGTGAAGTTTGTGAGATTGAAACGTCATTCAATACTGCCAGTAGAATACGATGCAGACTGAACGCTGCCCTGAAAAGAACATATCCAGCCGCCAAGCTTGTATGTGTTTATCAAACAACTAGTTGTTTGAGACAATCAAAAGTGGACATGTTACCTCCAACTGTGTCTACCAATTTACATGTACGTGCCAAAGCACATACATCGGAAGAACAGAGAGAAGGGTTATTGTCCACATTTCTGAACACATACCAAAGAACCTGAGACTGAAAGGTTCACAAGTATTAAACAGTGCGAATGCACGTCATCTACTGGACACTGGTCATAATGTAGACAACTTGAAGTCATTCAAAATAATCAACAAGCAAAAGAAACCTAACTTGCTACGCTATGCTGAAGCAATTGCTATCAGACGACTTAAACCAAATCTATGTACGCAGAAAGAGACAGTGGTGAATCTTGCACTGCCCTGGTGACAACAAAAAAATATACAACAGCTTGTTTTTGTTTCCAAACCTAATTGCCTAATAATTCTATAAATTTTCAAGTGTTGGTTTGTAGGGATTTGATTGGTTACAGGATTTCATCATGAGCTGACATTAGTTAGAAAACCATTGGAAAACCTACAGGGAGTACTGGACAGCTGTTTCGTCCTAGTTTGGGACTCTTCAGAAGTACGCACCCACCGGGATTCGAACTCAGGACCTTCTGGTTACAAGGCGAGCTCGTATACCATTAAGCCACTGGGACCCGATCCAATGGTCCATGAATTCTAACTTCTGCCAATTCACGACATAGCGCGACCCCTAGCCAATGTCTTCGACGAGTATTTGTCCTCACGCCCGACCTGCTGCACCCTAATGGTCACGAATTCCCACTGGAACCCCAGGTAACTACCCACTTGAATAGGGCAAGTCGCTAGTGAGCATCTTATTGATTTTCAAGTGTTGGTTTGTAGGGATTTGTTGATTGGTTACAGGATTTCATCATGAGCTGACATTAGTTAGAGAACCATTGGAAAACACTGTCAAATATTGATCACAGTTCATTTGAATTATTCTATAAATAGTCAGTGTTTGTAACTCTTAATTAGTTAAATCATTCCGGACTAATGTTACTTTTACTTCCTACCAATTACTGCTTGTGATCGTGGAAAATTATGTTCAAATCTTTAATGTAGTGTAATTCATATTTTTTATCGTTCAGGTTGTAACCAGTTGAGAAGAATCCTCGAAATAATAATGAAAGATGAGCTCATATTATCCTGGTACAATTGTTGTTCTTGCTTTGTTCAAGTTTATTAATGGGAAGAATTGCATGAAGTTTTTTAAAAAAAATAGATGAAAATATCTAAATTTCAATAATACACGGAAGTACATACATGCATATAACTCATGATATTCGAAAATTTCCATGGAAACAATTCTAAAAAACATAACGAGCCATTAGGAATAGCATTTGACGTATGCATATTAAAATGCTCTAGATAAAACACAATTGCGTATACACAAAAATCTTACCCAGGTTCAAAAAACGGTTCTTCTGCATATGCATCAATCATGTATTCTTCAGCTACATCAGTACTTTCTACTTGAGGCACATAAATAGTATCTCTTTTAGGCACATCACTGGTTTCTTTAGACTCATCTTTAGTTTCTTCTTTAGATTCAACTTTAGTTTCTTCTTTAGGCTTCGCTGGAGGCGCTGGCGTAGGTGCAGGTGGTGGCTGTTTGTCAGGAGGTGCATTATATTCGACATTCATCAAAAATGACTCCTGATAGATACCATAATGCGAATAAAGTATGAGATACAATTTCTGTTTTCCCCAATCAGGTCCCTGCAAACAAACTAGACGACCATCGCGGTTCAGCAGTTTTTTCAACTAAATCATTTTTTCAAAGGGAAATAGACCGCAGAACAAAATATATTGACATGATTTAATCATACGGTAATCCTGAGTGAAAGCTAGAAACTAAAAATGACAGATTGATAAACCAACATAGAATTTTACTCAAATGTGTGTCAGCTGAATTTCCGACACCTAATCGCATTCTATAAAGACAAGCTCATATTAGGAGATTATCATCAAAATAGTGAGGAAGGGATGTGATAGTAAAACTCAGCGAGGCGTTTGGAGTAAACACAGGAGTCAGAAAAGGGTGCTTATTATCACCAATGATATTCCTAATTGTGGTGGACTGGATTATGCGTCAGACAGTGGGAAACGAGAAGACAGGGATATCCTGGACCGACCGACGTGAAGAACCTAGAAGACCTGGATTTCGCGTGTGGATGATTTATGTTTGATGTCATACAAAATCGAAGACTTACAAGCGAAAACCGACAAACTGGTTGAAGAAGCAGCCGGTGAAGACAGGACTGCAGGTGAACATAGACAAGACGGAGGTTATGAAAATAAACAACCAACCAAAAACAACAACCACAACAGCAGCAACATCCAGCGCCAATCACCATCAACGGGAGGGATTTGAAAGAGGTTACTTCATTCACTTATCTAGGGAGCATTGTCTCAACTACAGGAGGAACGGACGAAGATGTCAAATTGAGAATCGAGAATCGGGAAGGTGAGAAACACATTCATCAACCTGAAACCAATCTGGAAATCTCCGTCACTCAGCATCAACAACAAAATTCGGATTTTCAATACAAACGTCAAGTCAGTCACTTCTTCTGTACGTATGGATCAGAAACTTGGCGGGTCACAAAGAATATTTCCAACAGCCTGTTGCAGACCTTTATCAACAACTGTCTTCGCTATATACTACTCAAGATCCGATAGCCGGAAAGAACAAGAATCATCAAGAAACTATGGGAAGAAACAAAACAAGAACCGATCGCTCAACAAACATGCAGGAGAAAGTGGAGATGGATTGGACACTCGCTGAGGAGGCCGCCGGGTGACATCGCGCGTCAGGCCAGTGCTCGAGTGGAATCCGAAAGGGAAGCGGCGAGTTTGGCGTCCAAGAGTGACATGGAGGAGATCGTGTGAAGGGGAACTGAAACAGTATGAACCAACATGGATGCAGTTGAAAAATACAGCAGAAGATAGAATCAAGTGGAGAAGTCTAGTTGAAGCCCTATGTTCCACTAGGAATATGGGATTTTCAGCATGTGATATCGGCAGCCCAAATTTGGCAGGCCGACCATTGATATCAGGTGTGCGTAGGCAGCGGGTTGAACCGCGGTCTATGTGCATGGTCGGCGAGAGTTCTAACTGTTGTGCTACCGACGCACACGATGTACACTAAATATTTTCTTTCAAAAAAGACTTACTCTACTTTAATGCCCGGTAAGAAATATGGTATAACTGAAAGCTTTCAGCTTCTTATTACTCACTTGACAACTCAATTAGATATGCAATCAATAGTTCTTGGTAAACACACATATAGGCTTAAATGGCACTAATTTTAATCATTTAGCAGCAAAATTTACCTACACCACTTCCTCTTCTTCAGTGAACACAAACTACATCCACAATGGCGAATAGACAGTTAGCCAGGGGAGACAAAACGGAATTATATATATGACCCGTGATTTATTTAAATTTACATATACAAATAAATTTTCAAATTTATCACAGAAGAAAATGCTGCTCTCTAATCACAACTACTGGAAGCAGTATCACTGATAGTATTAATTAATTAATCAGGCACATTTGTTTGCCTGACAGATTTGCTAGGAGGATGTTTCTCCTAGTCAATAAAGTCATCTCTAATTTTGATATTCGAGACTACTAAAACACCAGTACTCCATTTTACAATCAAGAAGGCTGGAGTTATAAGACATCCAGACTTGAAATAGGTAAGTTTTATCCGTCCGAACCATCAATTATTTAAATTAACCATACTTAATTGTCTATAGGCGTATGTGGAATGATTTTGATATCCTATAAAATAAAAGCAAAACTATCGGAATATTATACTGAGAAGCCAAGTGTTATCCATTTACAGAAATCGTGTATTTTTGATTGCACACTAGTCAGTAACTAGTGTAATGTGTCTAGTCCTATCTTCGCTGCAGACTGAATTCTATCAGTCATGCTTGCAATGTGGTCACCATGGCACCGAAGATAGGACTAGACACATTACATTAGTTACTGACTGCTGTGCAATCAAAAATATTCAATACAGTCCTACAGCAGGTCAGTCGCGACCCTGAATAGCTCAGTGGTAACATCTCTGACTGCAGCACTGAGTGACGCGGGTTCGAATCTCAGAAGGGACATCAGTTCCTTGAAGGTTGCAGATACGCCTGTTAATCGCGACAGATAGATAACTGTATGATAAACAGCCAATCAATATTATGTGACCATTCTTGTCGCGATTATTGGCCAATTTATTGTAACTCTCACCACGTGATGACCTTGAATGTTCTTTTTTGTCTGTCACTTTACATGTATACATGTAATTAATTGACTGTTCATTTTGTCCGTACCTTCAATACTGTTCGGTACGTTTTTGTCCTACTTTTGTAATGACAATGGATTTGTACATTTTTCTTGGTGTAATTGTATGGTTTATTTTATGTTTTAGAAACAGATAAAGTTAAAGTCAAGTCATCCTGTTTTTAACTATAGCTAAGCCGAGACTCTGTATCGTCAGTATTGAGGTAGGACTAAATCTGTAGGACAAAAATAATCCTACAACGCCTTGCTTCCGATTGCCTCCAACCACCTAATACCAGGAGTGGTGTTTCACATTCGCAACTTTGAAATGATTATCATGGCTTTCACAATACCCACAGAATTCTTGCTTGATATATATATATATATATATATATATATATATATATATATAAAGTGCTGGTATGGTATAACTGATTTCCATCCAACTAAAAGCACATATCTGTTTTCTTTTTTTTCTATTTTGATAAAGTCAGCCTGAAGAAATAAACTGATTGATGAATCCCATAATGACCGCCTGCTTGAAAATGACTACTCGGTCTCATCACAGCCAGCCCTAAATATCTGCCCACATTATTAAAATAATGTATGAGAAGTAATAAGGGGAAATATGCATTGCAGACGTATAACATGTGCGCTAAGTAAGTCTGTGGAGTCTGTAATAATACTATTGTGCATTTTTTTGTTAGATGTTAAAATTAGAAACATTTTACACAGCTTTTGTTGAAAACGATTCATTTTGAAATATACATACCTGCGGAGCACAATCTAAAATACAGTGTGCTGCTCACCACTTCGTCTTCTCACTAGTCTATACTGTCTACTTGTTTCACTATTAACTGTGTTGTATACTTTGGATTTCGCCGGAAACTCTTATCCTCATCCGAACACTACCCTACAACCGATGTACAGCTTCTACCAGTAGATACGACTCCAGCAGTGAACACTATTGTGGATCATCATACTAATAATTTGTAGCAGCGGACTTTAACTGTATAACCAAGTAACCAATTAATTTATATGACTCATTACTGTATTTTTGTAATATGCAGTTACACTATCGGTTCATTAACTTGGATTTTTATTCAAATATTTGTTCTATTACCGAGCTCGCTACAAAGTCCCCTACAAGTCAGATAACTTTCTAATTCTTGGGACGCTGGCCGACTATGCACATGGTCCGGGGTTCGATTCCCGGCCAACGCACTCCTTTACCTCGCTAAGCCAGAAATAATGCTGGTGAAGAGGAAAGGTTGGGCGTGAGGCTAGCAACCCCATCCTGTAAAATAAACACTGCTACAGAAACTTCAATTCACTAGCTTGAAGCCCTATGTTCCACTGGGGAACGTGACGGAAAAAAACTTCTTATTATAAAATTAGTTTTCATTGAGAATCAGACCTACTCACCAGTAGATTGGAAACGCCCACAAAGTAAAAAAAAGTATGAAAGTAAGCACAGACTTACTTCAGGCACAACAGAACCATCCTTTGTACGAACAAAAATAAAATCATACGGTCCATTTGTTGACCAAGCAGTTTTATCACCATCGGATGTAAATATTATTTGTTTTCCCAATTCTAAACCGAATTTAACACCTAACTTATTATGTTTCAGCCAATTTTTAACATTGTTCTTAGCCAGATCGGTTAATGCTTTGTTAGGTTGAGTTGAAAAAGTGACACCAGTGTAACCAGTCTTTAGGAGAAATTTAAAAACAAACGACAAGTATAGTGTACTGCATATTGTTCTAGCATAATACGAATGACAGGGAATTACTTGTAAGAAATAAAAACCGTTCACTTATTTGAATAAAGCAAGAACAACAGTGGTTTGTGCAGAATAATATGGTACCATCATTTATTTCGTGGGCTTCTCATCAGCTGCTTACAGCTTAAATAAATTATGAGGTTTGCGTACAGAAAAGTTTTAACATACTTGCAAATTTTACATGTTGTCAGTTGACAGAAAATTCCACAATTAGTGAACAGTGCTCAGAAAATTGCGCTTATATAGTATTTACACAGGCAGTTCAAGTTTAAACAATATAAATGTATGCATGCAATGGTAAAAGAGTTACGTGATAAAGACAAAATATGCGTTAGATACAGAGTGACTAATAAATTAGGTAACAATGTGCTGAGTTCAACTCAAATCATAGAAACAAGAGACAAGCAAAATTACAGATTATAAAAGGGGGTGAGGTTAAAGACAAAGATTACGGAATCAGATGAGAGAATAAAGACATTCAATTACCAGGGCAAAGAAAGATTAATAACTGCTTCTTTCTGAACACATAAATCTGGTTTCAAGCGTTTGACAGAGATTGCTTCGGCAAACTTGAGGAGAATGGAACTCCTTTGTCTGTTGATAATTTTAAAGGATTTCTTGATTTCTACCTCATGACTCGTGTCGAGATGTCTAGTAATAGCGCTGCTATAAGAGTTTGTTCCCTTGAGACGTAGGCTTTTTGGCACATGTTCAGAAAATCGGAGGTGTGCCCTTCTTTCTGTTCTCACAATGTAACTGCTCCCGCAGATACACGTAAATTTGTATACACAGTTGGAGTTAACATGAGAAGGGTATCTATCGACTTTTGACTGCACCAAAGAGCATGTTGTTCGATGGACGGGAACCAACTTAGCTGCAGGATAGGCTCTGGCTAGTGACGTTCTCAGTCTTCTGTTGACCATTTCTGCAATGTTTTCACCTTTTAAATCTAGTTGAATGAATGAATGAGCCTTTGAAGGCTCAAATACCAAACAAATCACGGTTAAAAAGAAAGCCTGTCTTCATTATTCTGCACAAACCATTGTTGTTCTTGCTTTATTCAAATTCATCAAGGGGAATAAATGCATGAAGGACTGTTCACTTAGTTCACTTAACTTCAATAAATCTTTCACATAATACTGAATATACACCTTCTGTGTAAATATCCATGAATACAGCAATCACAGTTATAATAACAATGTTTTATATATAAATATTATCAGTACTTTACTTATCTCTAAAAGACGTCAGATGAAACACTGCCTTCATACAACTTATAAATGAAATCCATTAAACGATTAGCACATCGCATCTCACTGGATAGACTGAGTGCAGTAACACGGACGATAGATAGTGTTAGTGTACATGTTATCATGACCTAATGTAAATTGGAGATTCATTGGAAGCCAAAGAGCACTCAAGAGGTGTTCTGTTGTAGTTCGGGACTACTCAGCAATGTAACCACGACCCCACGAGGGGTCGAAACCAAGATACGAAACAAGTCTCTCCATCGTTCAGTGATTACGTCAAGAACCAATTACCTGTGAATGAGATCCCCAATAAACAGCCACCACTAACCAATGTCATTGCTGTGCATCCAAAAGTTGACTGTCAATCGCCTGCTTGTTGTTGCCCAAAACGTGCATGTCATGAAGCTCTAATAGGAAGCCAAGGGCAGTAGAACCTAGAGTATTGGATTTGAATGGAATGCCAATTGTGGTACGGACAGCAAAACAGAACTCATGAGCCATTAAGTTCCCACGCAGTTGCTGAGAGAAAAACGGACATCCTTCGTAAGCTGAAGACACAAGGTTTAATCTCTAGTGCTGTCATGTGTGTGGACACTACTGAAGAGTTTCGAACTATGTCGAAACAACCGTTCAGTTATACTTAGTTTCCCTTGATTCCCTAAATTAGGAGAACACCCACGAGTCCGTAAGACAGGTAACACAGGGGTGGGGACATAAAATAATGCTTGTTAATGAATGCTGATAATTTAAAACTGTACAGACACAGAACAGATTTTATACCTGCTTGTCCATCATGGTTTATATGATTATCTGTGGAATAATTACTGGCTTCTGATATTCAGAAGCAGGGTTTTCATCCATCACTTACTAATCTTATCTCGATGTTTATTCTCCTATTCAGAAATGACAGCTATGAACAAAGAACTATACATGAAAAGTTGTCAACAAACTTCCCTTGCAGCTAAAATGTACAGAGTAGATTCCATTTCTGAACGCAAATAAAGATCCGACACTGATGTCTTTCAGGCTCTGTCATTATCACTTGGTAGAAGTTAAGATTCGATCTACTTTTTCATACAAAGGCTCTCAAGGATATTGAAAAGCAATCATCAAAGACTTACACTTCTCATTAAATTTTTTGCCTATACATTTCTGCCATCTATATTCCGTAAGACCCCTAGATTAGAAATAGGAAGTGAATTGGTAGAGCACGTTAACCGCTTCACTTACTTGGGAAGTACCATCAGCCCCAACGGGTTGATCTCCGACGAAATCTCAGCACGAATACAGAGGGCTAGGTTTGCATATGTCAGTTTACGCCGTCTCTGGCGTAGACGTGATATCCGACTATCGACCAAAGGGCGTGTGTACTGCTCAACAGTCCGCTCCGTCCTCCTTTATGGCTGGCTGTGAGACCTGGCCATTGAGAGTGGAAGACATGAAAAGATTAGCTGTCTTCGATCATAGGTGTCTGCGTTCTATCTCCCGCGTGAAGTGGTATAATAAGGTGAGCAATATTGAGGTTAGGCGTCGAGTGCGAGGTAAGGAGGAGAAATCAATAGACGATACTGTGAAATTACATCGACTGAGATGGTTAGGACATGTGTTACGTATGCCTAGTCATCGCCTTCCTCGACTGACGGGCAATGTTAGCTGATATAGGGCCAGGCTGGAAAAGAGCTAGTGGCGGTCAAAGCAAAACATGGCACCAGCCAATGAAATCTGCAACAGTTAGTCTAAGCCACGTAGGAAGGTGTAGACTTCCTGACTGGTTGGGGTCCTCGGGCTGGTAAAAACCAATGACTGGAAACAATTGGTGACATGGCTCAAAATCGTTCTCAGTGGCGCAGATGCATCCACTCCTTGTGACTTATGATTTCCAATGAAACTGTTTTGTTCTTCGTTATTACTATTCCTTTGTCTCACACCTCTGTTTACTGTCCTTATTATGCATTTCTCCTACTTTCTTCTCTTGCTTTGTGTGCTACAAGGAGGGAGTGTGTCGACTTGAACTGGCGCACATATGTGCAAAGTTCCATGTTGAAAACCGACCGATATTCCATAAGAAGTCTAAATACCTGCTAAGAACATTAATCACTGAATTCTGTTAGTACATGAAAGAGGCAGGCGAATTAGAGTCAAATACAAATCAAAATGGTTGGCGTTAGAAAGGAAACTACGATAGGTGTATATATCTTCTTAAAGAACATCATCCAACATTCTATGGTAACAATACAACACACTGATGAAACGGGAAGTAGGTGCTGATAACAATAACAAACGAACACAGTCTGATAACAAAACAACACTCGACTGTTGTTGTAGCGTTAATGCATAACTGTTGATTGTTCATAATACTAAGTAAAGTGGTATCATAATACATTGTGTTTGATGATAAATGTTCAAAATAAGTTCACAAGAACACTTCGATGTAAATACTGTAGTAATTAGCATATTTCAGCCTCAATGTTTCTCAAGGTCTAAACATATTACTCTGGTGACTAGTGATAATATCCATAAAACTTTAATCCAAGGCTTTCCGTGAACGGCAAATACATCCAGCACAAAAATAATAAACATCATATTTTAGCAAAACAGACTTACCAAAATCGATAGAGCTGCTGTGAGGTATCCACTGCCTGACCCAATAACTAAAGCACGTGCATTACGCTTTGTGTTTGTAGCTAACGCACTGAAAATACGTGCATGCTGATTGACGGAAAACGAAATCATAAAAATATTTAGCATAAGCATCAACCTACTGAAGGGAGCATATCTGCACTATAATTACAAAAAAGGGTATTTAAAAAGACCACCCTTTATGTCTGCTTATTTATAAAATTAAATACTCTGTTACATGGTCACATATATCAGGTTATAGGTTAAATTAAATAATCATCAAGTAGCACAGAGAAGGACAAAGGTTATCGAATTGTTATGCATGTATTCACTAAATTAGACAGTTTATTATTCCAAGTTCACAAAACCAATATCATTAAAAAGAAATGGAATGCTGTTTAGATTATTATATTCTTCTGTTATACGAAAGTTCAGTTTAACTGGAGGAAATGGGTACTAATTCAAGTAGATGAGTGAATAAAATAAAAGTGTATGTGTTTTCATACTTTAGGCAGGTATGACAGTAGAAAGAACGAAGTGAGCACTTTCAATACGAGTCATTTAGTTGGAGTTTGAAGAACACAAAATCTGACAATGACCAGTCACCTTAATATTGATGCTAATGAAATTTCCCTGTTTCATAGTATATTCTAAATGCCGAAGACAGTAGTCAGCCAGGGTATTGCTTCAGTGAAGTACAATGATGAGAACTACCCATCGAATTAAACATAAGAACTATGTGATAAACATATGTCAGCATGCCAGTATTTATATAAATTTACATCAGCTAGTGAAAGTGTGTAGGAAGGCATCACAGCAAACCTATAACTGCGGAAAAAATCTGAATGTAAAGGCTATTGGAAAGTCTTAGTCTGATCATTTGCGCATCGTTTTCCGCAAAATCTGAAACGCAGACTAAGCAGGTAAGTACAATATGAGCGATTGATTTAATTCATCTCATCCGTTAACTGTTAAGGCAGGCTTAGTTAAGTGTTTAACAAACCGAGCAACAGCACTAAGTAGCACAAGAAAAGACGTAAATGATGAAATAAAACAGATAGAAGAGGCGTTGGTGTTAAATAACTATCCTTTAAAATTCATTAGGAAGATCGGAAAAGGCCAAAATAAAAAGAAAAAGAATTGTGAAACTAGTAATAGTAACATAAATAAGATAGAATATAAGTCATCTACAGTTATACCATATAAAGAGGGGACATCTGAGACCCTACGTAGGATTCTAAATAAGGCAGGAATTAGGGTGGCATTTAAACCCACAAACTCACTCAGGGACAAGCTCTGTAGGTTGAAGGACCCAGTTGATCCAATTAGACAAAATAATATAATTCACAAAATACACTGCAATGACTGTGAGGTCAACTACATAGGTCAAACTAGTAGGTCAGGGCTAGTCAGATTATCGGAACATACGAATTTAGCTAAGGTAAGAATGGTTGACCCAGAGAAGATAAGTAATTTAGAAAAAAGCTCAGCATCACGACACAGCCACACAATAGCATGGTGGGAGAGGGTTAAAATTCTAAAAAGTAATCTAGTTAGGTGGAGAGCGAGAGAGGTTGATTACTGAATCTTTGTTCATCGAGTCTACACCCAACACATGCAATAGGAATGATTCATCACTCATACCCGAAATATGGAAAATAATACTACCAATCAAATCAAGTGAAAATCAAGTGAAAAACAATGGAACTATATAAAAGAATTTAGGAAGTCGTGTGATTACCTTGACATGATTACGAGCAATAAATTGTGCTCGAAACGTCATCAGTAAATATTACTGTATAACACTGTGAGACTTTATCAAAACAAATTTTACCCATAATGGAATTACACTATGCGCAAATTCAACGGCATCCAAGAGTCCTTATGTGTCTCTCTAAGTCACTCCGGATGCAAAGCCCAGTCATAAAAACAAATGTAAATCAAACTTGAAAAAGATAACAAATTTGATATCCGTCGTTAACACCAGGGTTATTTTTTAAGTTTATGCCCCTATGATTAAAACATGGTCAGTAGATAAACCAGATGCTTCAGAGTACTACATAAAAAACAGACGACATTTAGAAATGTTTGCAAAACTGAGCGTGAATATTGCCTACATTTCTATTTAAGTGGTATACACCTTGTTTATTGTATCTGTTGACGTATACATAGATTTGGAAATCTGTCGTCAAACACAGATTATCATACTAATACTTAAATGACAGTATTAAGACTATACTTTCAGCCTATGAATTTACATTGAGGTCACTGGTATTTTTCTAATCCCTTACCCTAACATTCAGGAAACTCATCTGGAATCCTTCAAACACTTCTCACTATACTGAACTAAAATAAAATCTAAATTTTGATGCAGTTTTCATTGGCAAATATGATAATTAACTAAAAGAGACAATTAAATCTTATACGATCATTCAAATACATTGAAAATCAAAATGAACGCATGGCTAAAAGGTAAGAGAAAATTCAAAAAGTGAGGTATGAAAGAGTTTACCACAACCAATGTCTAAAGAAATAAAGATACTAATACGTAATGAAACCTGATATGTTAGAGTGATGAAAACATGAACCGAAAGTAACTAGTAGGCGACAAATATTATGGAGTTGTTGATAAATAAGCACAAGATTGCAGACAGTGTGAAAAAGTTACATATGTCTGCCTGATGTAGAACTGCGAAATTTAGTGAATCATGCGATATCAGTCTTCTTTGTGGGAGAAGTAAATAATGTGCCCCTTGGTGACGTCACTCCTAATATTTGTAGCCGCCACACTAACAGGTCAAACAAAAGCAAAGTAGATATTAGGGGAAGAGAAGTGAACAAAGGGATATGGTCACATGAAACAAAATTTAGGGAAAATAAAGCAGACAAACATATCAGGCAAAAGAAGTAACTAAAAACAAGTCACAGAAGAAATGAAATTAAGACAGGATTCATGAGAGAATTGTAGTGTCAATACCGTCCTACAGAGACAAATCTTTCTGTCAACAGATATGTGCAGGTAGTTGAAAGTTACATATTTATTCAATCAATCAGCAACTGATAGAGAGGTGGATGTGTCAGCCTACAATGAATTCTATTACTTGCAAATTCCATCAGTACAGAAAATAAATTACACATCTACAATACGTTTTTGATGTCTACCGATTGAGCTCATTTGATCATTCTGTGTTTAAAGCGGGGCATGGTTGTCACTTTATCGTATCTATTTCTCCCCTCCAAAATCAACCGTTTACCAAGATGTCATCTTGAAGTTCAAATACCACGCCTGTTTAGTCTATGTCAGGAAGGTTATTCCTCGCATCCATTTGTGAACAAGTAGAATCCTCTAGCCAGTCACATCGTGCTTTAGCGATAGGTAATTCCACAAAATTATTAGCCACAGCATTCATCATTAAACATCAGATGATTAATTTTACTGCTTAAGTCGATTTGTTTAGATGAAGACTCACAGTAAGACATCCATGCCATTTGGCACACCATCGTGTTACTTTCGTCCGTTCGTACACGATCCCTGACTAGTAAATCAATCAGCCTTGCATTACGATTTGGTCTAGAAATATACTTCGTAATTTGGACGGAGACATTATGCTTTGACTTTGGTCTACTAGGAACGAATACAATAGAAGTTGTGGGTATTAGATCTAGCGTCAGTATGAATCGTACTGTCTGTGAACACCAACACCCTCAGCCTCTAAAGTACCAACACTTTGGGTTCATTTGATATAAGAATAAAACTTGGGCAATGTGGTAGAGTGTAATTCCATTATGGGTAAATTTTATTTTGATAGAGTCTCACAGTGTTATACAGTAATATTTACTGATGACGTTTCGAGCACAATTTATCGCTCATAATCATATCAAGTTAATCACACGACTTCCTAAATTCTTTTATATAGTTCCATTGTTTTTCACTTGATTTTCACTTGATTTGATTGGTAGTATTATTTTCCATATTTCGGGTATGAGTGATGAATCATTCCTATTGCATGTGTTGGGTGTAGACTCGATGAACAAAGATTCAGTAATCAACCTCTCTCGCTCTCCACCTAACTAGATTACTTTTTAGAATTTTAACCCTCTCCCACCATGCTATTGTGTGGTTGTGTGTTAATGCGTGCATTGCAATTGCTGAGCTTTTTTCTAAATTACTTATCTTCTCTGGGTCAACCATTCTTACCTTAGCTAAATTCGTATGTTCCGATAATCTGACTAGCCCTGACCTACTAGTTTGACCTATGTAGTTGACCTCACAGTCATTGCAGTGTATTTTGTGAATTATATTATTTTGTCTAATTGGATCAACTGGGTCCTTCAACCTACAGAGCTTGTCCCTGAGTGAGTTTGTGGGTTTAAATGCCACCCTAATTCCTGCTTTATTTAGAATCCTACGTAGGGTCTCAGATGTCCCCTCTTTATATGGTATAACTGTAGATGCCTTATATTCTCTCTTATTTATGTTGTTATTACTAGTTTCACAATTCTTTTTCTTTTTCTTTTGGCGTTTGTCAATCTTCCTAATGAATTTTAGAGGATAGTTATTTGCTGCGACCGAAAATAGACCTTCATTCTACGGTCAATTGAGAAGAATGATGTATGCCTTAGACACTCCCTATGGGGATTTGTAGACTGCATGAATGCGAATTCATGGTGCAGACCCCTCATTTTTCCAAGAAAAACCGTTTATAACACTCAAACATTACAATATACGGGTTGATTTTTCGTAAAACGGATTTGACTGAGTAAAATCTACTGAACTCACCACACTAGGGGCAAGTATAATGCCACCAGAGCCAATTGACTGTTGAATATTTTTGTATGGGTTTTCCAAAACAAAACAACTGCGATCCACATTATACATGAGATATTGAATAAACCTAGAATTAGGGAAACGAAGTGCTAAATGGACACCGAATTCAAATGTACATAAATGTTTACTAAACACTTATTACCCCCGATCTTTTGTATCAAAATGATATGACCAGCTTGATTTGTTTGACAGGCGGACACACATTCGAAAAGATGTAGAATTATTGCCACTATCAAAAGGCTTTTGAAATTTGTAACCCACATCATAACTTTCCCACTCGGAAACGAAACAATCACTTCGA